GGTCAATCCGCTGGCAGTTGTTGCTACCAGAAAAGCTCCGGAGTGATGTTCTGCAAGCACTTCATGGTGGACGGACGAGTGGTCATCTTGGCATGAGAAAAACATTGGCCAAGGTGAGGTTACGTTACTATTGGCCAAACATGACGGCCGATGTGAGGTCCTTCCTTCGATGTTGTGAATTGTGTCAGAGGCGGAAGTCGCCATCGAAAAGGAGAGTTTCTCCTTTGCAGCAGTACAGAGTGGGTGCTCCCATTGAGAGGGTAGCTCTGGACCTGCTGGGTCCACTGCCCCAGAGGGACAGTGGAAATGTGTGGATTCTTGTTGTGGGTGACTATTGCTCCAAGTGGATGGAGGCTTATCCACTTCCCGATGCAAGGGCGAAGACAGTGGCATCGAAGTTTGTCACTGAGTTTGTATGCCGTTTTGGAGTCCCGCAGGAGCTTCATTCTGATCAGGGGAGCAATTTTGAGTCTGTAGTTTTTGCAGAGATGTGTAGAGTCCTAGGAATCAAGAAAACGAGGACGACAGCTTACAACCCGAAATCTGACGGGATGGTAGAGCGTTTCAACAAAACGTTGGTTAACATTGTTTCCATGCTGATTGAGCCTAAGAGGAAGCAGAGGGACTGGGACGAGTGTCTACCTTACGCGACCTTTGCTTACCGTTGCAGTCCACAAGAATCCACCGGTGAGTCACCTAACATGATGATGTTGGGACGTGAGGTGACGTTGCCTGTTGATTTGATGGTTGAATGTCCTGAAGTCGAGGAGGTGGTCGAGACTGATTTTGCTTGGGAGTTGCGACGTAGGTTGCAGGAGGCCCATTGCCGGGCCAGTGAGTGTCTGAAGCAGAGTGCCCGCCGACAGAAGCGAAACTACGACCGCAAGGTTGCTGGGGAAGGCCTGAAAGAGGGCCAGTTTGTTTGGTTGTTTAGCCATTCCAGGAAGAAGGGTGTCACTCCTAAACTACAGCTACGCTGGGAGGGGCCATATTTGGTCGTGAAGAAGTTGTCCGATGTGACTTACAGGGTTCAGTTGAGGAAAGGGAGTAAGCCTCTCGTGGTTCACGCAGATAGGTTGAAGCCCTATTCTGGCGACAACTTGCAGCCGTGGGTGTATCGACCTAATAGAGTGACAGAAAGCTCTGAGGATACCGCACGCGAGGTTGCTGAAATTGGGACAGCTGTAAGTGACGCACATGAGGTTACTGCGGATGACCCTACTGTAAGTGGTGATATGGGGCAAGATGGGATGAAGTCCGCTGCGATGCCTGAGACTCGCCCGAGCAACCAACAGGTTACGAGTAATGGACCTAACAAGGAGGTTGAGGTTTCCAGACGATATCCAAGGAGAGAGCATAAGCTTCCGGTCAGATATCGATAGAGTAGAGGGGAAGCGCCTGAGGATCGCTCTGGTGGAGGAACAACATTCCAAGGTTGTTCACCTGGACGGACAAGTCGTACAGCGGGAGGAACGGGTCGAATTGCATAATCAACCTGTTGATGCGGACCTGTTCACTGTGGAGCCAGCCGACTAGACATCCATCCCCCAAGAAAAAAAACTGTAATCTTGCCAATCGAACATTCCAATGGTGTAAAATTCCTTAATTCAACTTGTGATCCTTCTAATTAAGAAAAGAGAAAAAAATAGAGTATTTTTCTACCGGTGTTGAACAAGTTTTAGGATGTTATGTTTTATATATTAAAGTTTCTATTTTTATGCATGTGTATTTTAAATAAGGTTTATGGTGTTATGTGTTTTAAATGTATCTTCTATTTAGTGAACCCCGCGGACTATTTTTACTGTATAAGTAAACCTCAAGTGTGAGGTGTATGTTATTTTGTATAATGGACAAGTAGTCCACACTGTTTCTAATTATGTATTTTTAAGCTGTTTAGGTCGAGGCGGCCTAAGCTTTGCTGGGCCCTGTGTGGCGAAACAGCCGGTGGACTTGTGCAAGTTTACCATGGCTCGCCTGGTTCCCCGACGCCGTGCGTAGGGTATAGCGCGTAGTCAGAGATTTTAGGCAGTCCGTCTAAAGACGCCGTTGTGTGAACATCGATTAGTGGAAACTTAGCGTTGAGCTCCGAATCCGAGTAAACCTCGTGTGTAGACGTAGAGATAGTTTGGGCAACGCGGCGTGCAAGTCAAGGGCGGATGGTGAGACTTTAGAGTAATAATTAGCAAGCTAGACCTTTTGTTGTAAGGAGAAATTAGCCTGGGTGGCTGTGGGTTGAGCTGGTGACTGGGGACCTAAGGTTCGTGTAGTATGTGCAGCAGTATTCCCTGGTCGGGAATTGGGTTGCCTGTTGCCTGTCGACCTTTGTCGCCAGGAGTCACCTCGGGGTTATAAACCGCGCTCCGTAACCTGAGCCCAGTGATTTCTGTATACTAGGTTGCATGTGAGGGTTTCTCTGGTAAAGTCTTAATCAGTGTGTGCAGTTCATAACTTGTTGCTGTTGATCGCACTGGGTGTGCACAGTGAGGTTCTTGCCACTGTGGGATAATCTTTCTAGCTAATCAACGAGGTTAATTACATAGAGCCTGGTTAGGCTGGTTGTTGTAAGCATTGTATAATAAGAGGTTATTGTTGTGTAAGGCTAACTTTATAGGGATAAACCTAGAGCAGCGGGGAACGTTGTTCTGCGAGGTTTATTGGCCACTCATTGAACTTTAAGCCTGTGTATTGGACCGAATAAAGAGTTGTTTCTTGTTCTCTAAAACACATGTGTAGTGAGGTTTATTGAGGTTCCCTGGTCACCTCTAGGTTGCTTGCCACGTGAATTGGTATTCCTTTAGCGTTGGTATATTTCCAACAAACGGACAGGCCTAGGACTTGAATCCTCCGTTCGTGACGTAGTCCCCCCTTATTTGCGTGTAACCGCTCATGCGCATGTAAGGTCATTAAATATGTTTGTGGGATAGTCAGCTCTTGTTGGTGTGGGTGTAATTCCTTATCCATAGACGGGCGAGCGCGCCACAGTATAAACGGCTTATCCACCATGAACACAAAGCGTACTCGTACCGCGCTCGTTCGATGCGGGACCGATGCGCTGCGTATTTATAACTAATGACCTGCGTAACAGCGTATGCAGCGTAGTTGTGTGCATGCCCAAAACTATCCAGCGTACTGGGCCGTACCGTGCGTATGCATGCGTACATAAAACTTACACAAAACGATAGAGATGCATATGAGGTGCGTATTGTGCGTACGACTGCGTATGAAAAAAATGTCAATGCGCAACTCATAAGTAATAAGGATACGCAGAAGTGTGACAGAGCCCTAATGGTTGCATTGAACGTACGTACGCAGTATCTTCGCCTAGCCTGCGCTTCAGCTTTCCACGTGCGTGCAAGCGTTATTACTGTTACCACGTGCCAGGCTACATAAGTCTGGCACCGATCCCATCCGCGTGCAATAACATGCGGTAGTAGACTAGTCTGGTTGCAGTGTTGCGTTTCGCCTCTGTACTCCGACCTTTAAAAATGATTTGCGGCAAGGTACGGCAAGCTTAATCATTTCTTTTTATAGACCTTTCTGCGCTTGGTTGGCCAAATGCATTTTTGCCAACCACGGCCTGCAAAACTATGGAAGGTCCAACACTGCAAAAATGAAGAAGAGTTATTACAGATCACCAAAATATTATTTGATACTTGAAAATACAACATTTTCAACAAAGCAAAAAAATAATTCCCACATATGCCTTTTTACTATGTGTTGATGGCGTTATGAGGACTTTTTTGGAAAAATATGTTGCCAACCACGGCTTCAATTTATGAGCTTACGGCAGCCCATACAAAATGGCGCCAATGTTTACAAACAAAAGAAAGGCCTTTAGGCCACTGTTTTAATAAAAGATTGGACTTTCGTACCGTACCATTTTTTTTCATATAAAAACATTGATAAAAACAGTTTGGATTTATCAAGTAGATTTTATTTTTACACGGTAGTTTAAATGAAAGTTCCGGCTCACACGGTAATGTTTGGCGCAATTGATCGATATGGAAAGCACGATTTCAGAATTCGTTTTTCCATCCAAATGAATGCAAAGTTCTGAAGGAATGTTTTAATAATAGGAGTCAGTATTCCTCGTGGTACCAGGATACTTTTTTGTATTTTTAGAGCCATGTTGATACTTATTACATGTATATGCACGGTTTGAAATTGACTAATTTTGTGTGGTTACATTTATACAGCCAAAACCACTGGACTCCCTACCTCTTGCCATGATCTAAAAATTCTTCGAAGCCATTGGATCCAAATCGCATGATCCGAGAATTCGTGGTCATTTTGATGAACTGAGTGATATCATGCACGCATGTTTCGTGTGGCCGTGTTGTGTGGAGCGGGATCGGTCATTGCCAGACTTTGTCTGGCACCGCGGTATTAACAGTGATAATGCGTGGAGACTTATTCCGTTGGGTGGAGCTGGATCGGAACTATACTTTGCCCGTGCCTAACGGCGGGCCGTCTGGCATTGTCTGGTAGCATCGTGTTGTTTGCTCGGCGTGCGCCTGGACAGTGCAAAGGTCCGGGGGGGGGGGGTCGTAACTTTTTGGTTATGAGTGGTAAAAACCTGATTCAAAAATCAAGTTGTTGTTTATTTAATGGGGATTGTGATTCCCATGACATTAAACATTTTGATAGGTTTGAAAAATAACATTATAAAACATGCTAAAAGTAAATAATGTAAATCTTACAGAATAGAAACTCCAAATTTGGCCATTTAAATTGTTGTATTGTTGCGTTCCCTAATAGCAGTTCATGAAACATTTATTAGAGTCAACAATTATTCAATAAGTTGAAGGGAAACAGAGCTTTGGGGTGACAGTCACACATGTCAATACACTGATTTATTCATCTCTTCAATTTACATAACTTTGTTAGATTTCATCAACCTATAGGGTTTCTCCTTTTGGTAGTTTTTGGTAGCGTTATAGAGATAACAGGTTGGTGCCAACAAAGTCTATACATGTACAATGTACTATGGAAAAACCGTGTCAACCAATACGAACTGAGTGGGCACCGGCACGGTACGGGTTAACGACGGTCAGACAGAAGCGGGAGCGGTCCGCTACGGTGACCGGGGAGGCAACGGCAACTGGACGGGGCCAGCAAGTGTACCAGGCCGCACTTCAGTTCGAACCAAAGTGTGCATGTGGCGTATCGGGTATCCAAGGTCAATCGAGGCACTATGCACCACGGATAGTGTTTATGACAAGACCGGGCTAGCATAGCTGAACTACGGGGGGAATGGCTACGGGGAGCCGGCTAGCCACTAGAACACCAGACAACCGCACAACATGTTCAAGCTAAGACTAGCAGTCCAATGGCCATTCGAAACCGCACAGCACCATTGGGACTAGTGTATTACTATTTAACCAGCTTCTACACACTCCTCGATGGATGTAGGAGAAGGATGCTTCATAATAACACTAGTACTAGTGATTGCACTATTACTTCACCGCGTCAACCACCGAGGGAGGCCGATGCTTCGTAGTGACAAGAGTCGCAATCGGTCTGTCAGAGTCGAATTCGCCGCACATCATACTATAGTCAGTGGGCTTGTGGTGGCCCATATGCAATTTCGGGTACATTCTTTGAAACTCTCAGGATCACTAGAGGGTACCTCAAGAAGTTCAAAACCACTTGATGCCATTTTTTTCTGACCCTTTTGTGGGCGTGGCCATGATTTTAAAAGGTGGGGGGCATCGCGCGCAAATTTACTTTTCTTCTTCGAATTTGGACAGTTCACCCAAGTGCTACATCACAAGAATAAAAAAATCCACAATTTTGCCTCTTTTGGGGGTGGGGCAACATTTTAAAAAGTGGGGGGTCGCATGTCGCTAACAGAAAATCGACCTGTAAAATGCAATCTTGAGGTTTTTTGTTTTTGTTTTTGTTTTTGTTTCAATCCATTATAATTGGGCGAGGAAAAAAACGTTTACATGTCAACTCATAAATTCTTTGGATCCCATTAGGGGGGCGTGTCTCACTTTTTTCATAAAAAGGGGGCATACGTGTATTCCAAAAGGAAGCTTGTGCGAGCCTTTATGGATTGTTGCACATTTTTTCAAACTCTCACAAACACCTCTGGACACCTCAACAAGTGAAAATCTGCTCCACCCAACTCCACCCCCCCCCCGTTGGCCATTAAAATGGCAGCTGTTTTTAACATATCTGGCATATTGTACACATACATGTACAAATGGACAAATAGTCAATTTTATGAGACATTAATGTTTTGATATACAGTGAAATCTCGATAAGTGCTCAAAATGTGAGCTAAGCTGAGTTTTGAGTCAAGCAGTGTTGTATATCACTGTTATACTACTGAAGGGAATAGTTAGTCTCTGTTTGACTTAACAGGAGGTTTGATTTTTCAGAGGTTGACTTGTTGAGATTTCACTGTAGTTTATTTTGTCCTGACAACAATGCTGACCTTGTTTTATAACATACAAACTGCAATAGCCTTTTTAACTTTAAATTTATTTATCTCCACTTCATTTATAAAAATGATATTATGAAATGTGGTACTCGATCATTAGAAATAAAGTTTGAAAATTACAAATTGCAATATTAAGAGTAAAACTTGCCAGACTTGGGTAATTTAGTGAATCCTACATAAGTCACTTGTAATTGGACAACATATTTGGTATTTAATATCCATGACGTTATTTAGTAATAGAAAAGTGTGAGACTATTATTGTCATAGTTTCAGAATCCGGCTTGGTCAATGCTCTCGTCGTTATTCGTCCCGTACGCGGTCAATCGTCGGCATATATCCTCACGCGCTATGCACATGCATGTAAAAATACAGCGCGAACAGCGACCTCACGCGGCCACTATTTTTATGCAAATCAGTTGGAGACGATGTCGAGCCTTGGTTCAATCGTCGGCCAAAGCTTATTCTTTACTTTGCGCTAGATTTCCAGCGCACGACCTCGTATGCGAATACAGATAATGTAGGCGGGGCTAATATGTGGAGTGTCCAATCACACCTTGGTAAATCCGGACGTCATCAAATTATTTGCTGCTATTCCAGCTTTTGCGGACGTGACAGGAACCACAGTTTTGGTGCATTGGTGCCGTGTGCAGAGACACACAATGTGTACGCGGACGCGTGTATGGATTATGTACGGTGCCACGTTTCACTATGCAAGTTTCCACGCAACGATCGACCAATAAGAAAACGACATTTAAGGTCAGCTAAGGCTATTAACATAATGAGCACCACCCCCAAAACCTCACATGGACGATTGAACCAAGGCTCGTTAGGTCGCTGTTCGCGCTGTATTTGTACATGCATGTGCATAGCGCGTGAGGATATATGCCGACGATTGACCGCGTACGGGACGAATAACGACGAGAGCATTGACCAAGGCTAGTAAGCCCACTGACTACTAGTTACCGCACAACATATAAGATCGCCGCACAACTTTGTGTTTAGGGTTCGTTCGCACTACATTGGTTTCGTAGTTCGCCGCACTGCCGAAAGTGAGGAAAACCTCCGGTATTTATAGGCAGTAAAAGTCTCGGGATTAAATAATGCATGAGCACTGATTTAGGAATTAACCAATAGTAATATTCCATGTCTAAGGGTCACATGACTAGTCACATGATTTACTAAGTGCCTAGTGCAAGAGACTAGAAACGTGTGCATTTACATAAGGGAAAAACATGGAGAGAGAAGTTTGCAAATACAGAGAGAGAGATGTGTGCAAAAAGTTAGATCAGAGTGCAAAAGTGTTTACACAACATCTCGATCAACCTTGACGGAGTGAATGACAAGCTAAAAGGTTACTGTGTCACAGGTTATTTACATCACAGGATGTCTTACCACGCCCAGCTACGCGACCACGCAAGGGTAACATTCCATTCCCTCGAATGTACGGGACTGGAAAACTGGACCGTAAACTCCGGTTAGTGTTCATGGGTAACACACGGGGTAGAGAAATGCTCCGTGCCGCTGAGCAGTCTCTCGGAGAACGCCAAAGCACGCATGCTAGGGGGAAAGGAACTTAGCTCGCTGGGGCGAAGGGAGGTGTGGTCAGTCGCGCACATGTACATTGCTGTTATGAATAATGCATGCACTAGCGCGCGTGGCATTGCATCATGCGCTGTTCTTGGTAAGATGTAAAAGTGCAAATTGGCAATTTACGATAATTAGGTAAAATAAGGGAACAGCAAAAGACAACAATAAGATTGTGTACTTCATGGACAGAGTGAAACCAGAGGGCGCTAGATTTCCATGATCAAGCATTCTGGGTTCGTAACAGTATCTCCAATGAGGCTGATTCAAACGCCATTGATTTTGTTGTGTAATTCGCTGTTCAGTGATACAAAACTTGAGATTTCTTTCTTTATAAAATAACATTGCAAGCTGTAAATTTGTAAGCCAGGCACTCCAAAACTCAGTGAATTCAACTAAAAAGATGTTAAAACTCCCACATAATCTTAGCCATGTTTGAGTGATTTATATTTTATAACGTGTTTTAATAGCTGGCCTCGGCCTCGGCCTTGGCCTCGGAGGTGGTGGTCTCGGCCTTGGCCTCGGCCTCGTGGTTGTGGCCTCGGCCTCGCCCTTGGCCTCGGAGGTTGTGGCCTCGACTACAACACTGTTATTTGATATTAAAGAAAGTGCTGTTTGTTTTTGGAGAGGATTTTTTGGCAAAATGTAGTTGAAATATTAGTCCGCCGAAGTGTCTGTTTTCTGAAATTAATTGTGCCGACTCTTCCAGGCGCAGTACACTTTGTTGTATTCATTTTTTGTTCTCATGCTGTTTATGTCGTGTAATCACAAGGGTATAAAGGGATTTATGATAACATGAATAAAAAAAACGATTCTGCAAGCCATAGGAAAATACGGCCCTTTTTTGTCACCACAAATATCGCAAAATGCAGAGATGTGATTGGTCTGTGACAAAAACACCTGAAGCGACGCAATTACGTCGTGGGGTTCAGGGCCCGCTTAAGGGCCCCGGAAAATGTTGGATTGTAAATGCTCCGATGTGCATCTGAGGCAATACGGGGCCATTTCCTCTCAAATTTTGAGCAGAATTTGTTTCAATTTTAAGTAGAATTGTCCTTCATTTGTTAAAATGTACACATGTACTCTTGTTCTTATGAAGTTTCCTATGTACTCAAACCATGCATTTTCATTAAACAAGGATAATGCATAAGCAATTCAAATGAAATTGAACTCAGGTCAATCGTTTATTAAAGACCGTTTACTTTTTCTGGATTTTGTCTGCAATTGATGTCGTCATACCGGTAAACAACACTTTTCCCGTGATCGATGGCTTTTCAAAGCCACTGATTCAACTCTATTTTACGTTCAACAGTCACATATTCTTCCAGCCAATTCCAACGAAATTTATTTTGACGTCAAACTGATAGCTCTCGAACTGATAACTCTCCCCTCGATACTTTTTCCTGTTGAACTTCGAGACCGACATGTTCTCTCACTCACGTACGCCGCTACGCGTAACCGCACACAGACCAAAATGTACACGAGGTGCATTTGCCATTGAAAATATATTTTCGTCTGGTCCTCAGACAAGTGAACTATTTACACCATATTATACGTTTGTAGGAACTAGACTGCATGAAGCCTGGCGCTCGTATCGGGCCCAGCATACAACGTATGTACGCACACCAACATGTAAACCGTACGCACCCAAAAACCAACACAGCCACACACACGAGAACGACCGCAACATGTGCATGCTCCGTTAAGCTCCTGTCACACCTTTGCGTATCCTAATTCCTTATGAGTTCCTTATCAAAAATTTCAATACGTAGCCGTACGCTCAATTAACGTCGAAATGTTTTGATCACTTTGGCTTATGTGCGACGCACATCTAGCGTACAAGAAACGAATTCAGCGCATCCACTGCGTATGAGATGCGTATGAGTTGCGTATGCAGTGCACAACATTATTTTTCGGGCTGCGAATAGGTCAGTATGCAGTGCGCATGCCGAGCGTATTTCGGACGCACACGACTTATGCCGACCGCATGTTTGACGCACTTCTGAGCGTATTCCCGCCGCATTTCCGCCGCTCGCCGTTCAGCGTGCGTTGCATCTGCGCTACAAGTACGCTATGTATACGTCCAATACAGGCGGCTCATATGCTGACGGGGTGCGTCACGAACACATAGCGTACTCGTAACGCACTCAACCGATGCGGGAGCGATGCGCTGCGTATTTATAACTTATGACCTGCGTAACAGCGTGTCGTCATTAAAGCGCCACAAAACACCGGTTCCCTCTATTTCAACTATAAGGGAACCTTTTCAGTTGTCCTACTGGCACTGGTTGATGCTCACCTGAATTTCATCTGCGTGGATGTGGGTTCCTACGGGAGGAACAGTGATGGAGGAGTTTTTTTCTCATGCCAACTTAGGTAAGGCACTCACAAACAATGCTCTGCATCTCCCACATGACACACACTTACCTGTTGGTGAACACTTGGGACCAATGCCTTATGTAATGGTTGCAGATGAGGCCTTTCCACTGACAAGTCATGTGATGAGACCATTTCCAGGCAAAAATTGCGAACGTAATAAACAGATTTTCAACTATCGTTTGTCACGAGCCCGCAGAGTTGTTGAAAATGCCTTTGGCATTCTGGCTGCTAGGTGGAGGATCTATCATACCAAAATGGGAGTGCGTACAGAAGTTGTCAACAAGATTGTCAAAGAAACCACTGTACTTCACAACATGCTGCAAATGCAGTCTTCTCCATCAGAAGTGACGTGTTTGCTTCAGGATTTCAACGAAATCAATCCTCACAACGGTCTACAAAATCTCCAGGGTACTGGTAACAGAGCCAGCGCAGAAGCAACAGACATCAGAGACTGTTTCATGGAATACTTCGCGAAATCTGCCCCCCCCCTACCTTGGCAATCAGCTCACGTCAGTCGAGGTAAATTCTCGTAATTGACATTTAAAGATACATACCTCATGCTCACATTGGTTTCAACATCAGACTGTTGACATGCTTGATCTCCCATAACAGATGCAGACTTCTCATGGTCAGAGTCATATGTGTAGTTGCTCTCAGTACTAAAAAAATAGATATTGAAATCAAAATCATTAAAACTAGGATATAATATGAATACATTGTTATATGCGCAAGTCTATGGCCATGCTATTTATTCAATTAATAAACTAACACTGAAGGTACAAATTTGTTTGGAGTTTTTTTGTACAATACGAGCCATCTACTTGTTAATTGATTTATTTCCTCAATTTTGTTCTTCAAGATGACCCTTTGATACTTAATACTGCTTTAATAAACTAATAAATCTGCACACTAAATACATTAAGTAACTTCAAGTGCAAAGACATATGCTATGGCTCATTCACTTTTTTGAAGATAAGGTATTGTTATCCAGTTCTTACGAAATCTTGGTTCATGGTTTAATTCGAATATATTTATGTCTACTCACAATACTCAAGTTTGCTGCGCGGGTTTATATCAACAGCTATTTGTTGAACAGATTGCATATTACTAGTCTTGATTATTACAAAATTCATTTGCCAGTTGTCTAGGCTACGAACGATTTAAAATGCTTCAACTACAATGTACACTGCTTACAATTCTCATTGATCTTGTCACATAACTCCCACTCTTTGTGGTCTACATTGGCTTTTGCTGTTGGTATTTCAGAGTATGCAATACAAGGTTTGGTACCAAACTATTATGCTATCTTACTGTTAGAAATCAACAGTGATACAGCATCCAATATTCATGTGAAATTGGACAGAAAAGTCCAGTAATATTGTATGTGTATGTTTTTGTGAGCAGATGTCACTGCTGTTATGTCTGTATTTTTTTTTATTTGGGCTAACAAATATTTATGTATGATTTATGTATGGATTGTACATTTTCGAGGTGTATTACACATTTTTACTGATTTCGTAAGTTAACTGATTATCCATGTTAGGTGTATTATTATTGTCTTTGTGATACATGTGTTCTCCCTTGCTATGAATCTGACATTGCGTCAGTTTGATTCATTTAATTTCTTATGCTTAGCTAAACGTTTAACTTGAACTTTGAACTGTGTACTTTCAGAAATTATCAAATATCAAAATTAACTAATGAATCTATTATAAATATACCTTGATCCTACATGTATTCTTATATAATAGTATGGTATTTCTATATTTTCTTAATATTTATCTAGGTAATGTGATGAGAAAATATATATTGTGTTTCTTGTCAAGTCATCTGTTGTCAAAACATTCACATACAGTATGAAGCATGATTATGTTAATTTTTTTTATCTACATATTATCCTGAGAAATATATTTTCAACAAACATTGTTCTATTCATATTGTTATTTCTTTTAAAGTCTTTAAGTCATTAATTCTTGTAATTTACTAATGCTGATTTACTAAATAATTAAATACACTAGGATACATTTCACAATTCTAGTACTCCATGGAAACTGGGTTTTCTGTCTCGTTTGTTTGCTGTAGCACAATAGCACAACCCACAACGTTTGATTATTTTCCCCCATTTTACTTGGCACTCCACACTTATTGTACTTACGGTGCTTCCATGACATATGGAACAAGAAATGACAACACATCCATGTATTTCCACTTCACTGCTGTCTTTGCTGCTTGTCCACTTTTGGTTTTCATCTCCCGTTTCCCTCTAACAAACTGATCCCTTTGGTTACGCCATTTTTTCCTCCAGGCTTGCCCTGTGGAAGAGAAGGTAGCATGGCCACTATCAGTAATATTCCGGGATTTATATAGTGAAAAGGCTTTTGAAAACGCCAACCCTTCAAAAGTGGTACTAATCAGTGACCACCCCCTCCCCCCCCCAAAAAAAAAATATCCAAAAAAGGGTCACTATTTAAAAACAGACAATTTACAATTTTCGCAAAATCTGTATACATCCCCCAATGAAAAATTCTGCATACGGGCCTGGGTTACAACCAAATTGAAATCTAAGTCCATATCTGAAGAACATACTCACTATCCCTAAAATTATTGGGAGTAAACTTTGCATATACATCTACATGTATTGAAAACAAGGGAATGACTATCGCAATTCTGCATACTCGGCAATTCAGAATACTATGCAGAATATATACTAGTATGAGAATTATGTATGTATGATGTACCAGCCCCTGCCGGATCCACGGACTAGCCATGTCTTGCTGCCCCAACAACGCAACCCCTATCACGCCTATCCCTGCTTCATGCAATGCACTGAGGTATATTGGGGAATTAGGTTAGAAGACCAATCGGGGAAGAAACACCGAACAAACCAGTATGCGTACTAAAAGTTGCTGTCACTAGGCATCATCAATTATCATCATTTCTTCTGAAACGTTAACGTTGGACATTGTAAATAAACAATCCAGTCAGCCACTGACATGACTGATAGACATTCACTTTACCTGAAAATATCCTGACATATTTAGTCATAGAATTGGACTCCATACAAGGCCGATGCACTGCCCATATCGTTGGATTTGTGGTAAAGAATCTAGTAGGCCCGAGTAGTACTACTACTACTACAAAAAAAGTACTAGAACTACTAGTACTAGCAGTACACATTGCATAAATTCCTGGTGTGCTTATCATAATCATTCATTCTAACGTTACTAGTACTACGTATACAGGTATACGCTATACTGGCTGTTGTGTTAAAACGTGATGCTGCCTACCGTCCGTACCATCGACACCCATCGAATCCGCAATTTTGTCCCATATATTAGCTATAAGCACAGCATCCTTGTGTCTTGAGTCACTGGCATCGTACAGCGGTGGGTTCTTTCTCACTAACTCAAACAACTTCTCCATCAGTGCTGGCATTTTGACTCTTTCGATGACATTCATTCAGCGCGCGCTCTATCTACAGCGAATTTGCACTGATCAAAGGTTATGGAACATGCGCATTATTGTCCGTAAACATTTTGGCATCCGTTAAAATCGCTCTGTGTAGCGATTGTGACGGACGTCAATAACGGACACGCAACGCATGAGTGTATTATGGAAAGGAGCTTATGTTTTTTCTGTGTTTCGATTCATCATTTCGGTAAAAACTCAACGTATACGCATCGTATACGCAACGGGCACAAAACGGACACAAAACGGACCGAAAAACGCACTTATGGAAAGGCAGCTTTATGACCTGCGTAACAGCGTACGCAGCGTAGTTTCGTGCATGCCCAAAACTATCCTGCGTACTGGGCCGTACCATGCGTATATCTGCGTACATAAAACCTATACAAACAATAGAGATGCATATGAGGTGCGTATTGTGCGTACGACTGCGTATGAACAAAATGTCAATGCGCAACTCATAAGGAATTAGGATACGCAGAAGTGTGACAGGGTCCTTAGTCTCAAAGTGCATTGATACCAGTGATTGATACTTGCAGGGCTAGGGCCGGCGGCGCGGGGGGACTGCAACGGCTTGCAATTACACACGAGTCTACACACGTGGCTGCAGCCACTTCCCATAGACTCGTGTGTAATTTCAGGCCGTAGCCAAGTGGCTTCTTTCATGCACAAAGCTGGGATCCTGTCTCTAGGCCGCTTAAACCTCATGTTCAAGCAAGGACATTTGCATGCGACGGAATACGAAAAGCACATGTACATGAATCTCGCAGCCCTACACACGAGGTGCAAATGCCATTGAAGAAAATACTTAGTCTGGTCCTGAAAACAAGTGAACTCACGTCCGGCCGAATACAATACATACATGTTAATTACAGAGTAAGTTATTAGTAAATTTCGGCTTAATTAATTTGTACATTCTACCCCCCCCCCTCCCCATTTCTCAACACATTCACACGATCCACGTGGGTTGACTTTTGAGGCAAAAAAAAAACCGATTTAAAATCTCTGCAATTGTATAATTCTCGCTTAGATTTGAAATATGTTAACAATAATGTACTGTATTTTGCAACTATGTGACATGTTTGGTGTACTGTGTGAGAAGGTCAAAGAATCGGGGTTTGATAATTATATATTCACTTGAATGAAAAAAACGTGCTTCTAATTTTCAGAAAGTGTCTGAAACAAACTTCATACTTATACTGTAGTGTGCAAAACTAAACATATACATAAATCAACATTAACAAGACGAAGCAAGCTTATCGAACCTGATCATAGATTTATATTTGGAAGATTCTGGAATCGCTAAATAGGTCGTAGAATAAGTTGTAGTAACATTTCGGAAATATTCATTACAAAATACACTTTCGGCATTGGTCTTGCGAATTGACTGATTGTCGACCCATGTATGGAACAATGGTACATGGAACAAGTAGTGCCAGACTAAAGCGCGGTGTGCGTTTTACATAATACAAAACAATTCAAATGTTTTATTGATAATTAGGCAGCCAGCCACTTGCTCAGTCAGTCAGGGTCGCGGGCAGTCAGGCTGCCCTCCTCTAATAGGGCACACTATAATTTATGTTAAAAATGTAAACACACCAACAAATTGTTAACGCCATTTCTCTAGGTTCCTACGAGAAAAACCTAATACCTGTAGGGGTATTTAAGATCACTTATTAATAATATCCTGTCATGTTAAAAATATAAATTTGCCGTTTTCTTTTGAAATCAAATGAAGGTCCGTTGGTTTACAATGGAAACTTGACTGGCCTGTCAAAAACCAAGTTATATATGACTTGCAATCATAATTGTGACTGAAGTAAATTGAAAAATCTACTTTGCATCACACACACTCGGTTTAAAAACATACACAAGTTTTTTTTTCGTAGCAGTTTGAAGGTTTAATGTATGTCAATGAACATTTGCAAATAGGTCTGAAGGACGATTGGAGGACAATTTTTGATATTTTAATGTTCAATCCAGAACGATGACAGAAACATATCTAAAGAAACTTGAGAAATAGGCGGATTATTATTACAATAGTTATGCGAATGTTTTTTTTTTTACTGTTTTACAGTTTTTATTTGACTGATTTTACTGAGTTTTATATTCCATGACTAACCGTTTGTACAAGTAAATACAGAACGCTGGCATCCTAAACAACGCCAGTGCTTTTATCTTTCAATTTCCATCCGACGATGCATTTTGAACCCAGTGCGATGCAAACAATAATGAGTGGTCTATTTGAACAGCGAAATGGCGATAATGTTGCTTGGAAACCTATGTTTACATTAGCCAAAGTTCAACTTCAACAGTTTGTAAACACGTAAGGTATTCTGGATTACACATACTATCTTGTGATTGATGTGCAAATAAGAACAATAAAACCTAGAGTAATTGAACACAACGCATTTGGCATTCACAGAAATTCTTAATTCTCTGCCTTCGCGACGCTTACGTGTCGCTTGTGCGTGACCTGTTAAGTTTTGTAGTTTTGGTACCGTGACCAATAAAACACAGTGACGTCATTAAATTGGGCCACGAGGAAGGGCGCCCCTACCGTTGGGTAGAAAAACGCGCTTGAGGCTACATCCAATCTAAACGTAGATTACACAACAACGGGCGAAAAATGCGAGCCGGATTTTCATTGATGAAGGAGAAAAAAAACTAAAGAAATGAACGAAATAAAGAAATGAAGAAACGAATAATGGAATAAATGAATGAATGAATAAACGAATAAAAGGTGGATAAACACCTGTCAGCCAAAATATTAACAATATGTGATTTAGCAATGCTTAGTAGAGAATACAATTACATGTAGTTATGGGGGATTAGTTGGGGATAATGACCGGAAAATGCAACCAAAAAGAACTCAAGTGACGACTGTTTCGAAGGTTTACAACTTTTTTGAAGTTGTTTAAAAGTGGAACCAAATTCAAGTTGCTTGAATTTTATTTTTATCATTCTTTATGAATATAATCTGTTTGCAAGTAAAACCCATTGCTTATAACATGAATAGAATGCTTGTGCGACCCCCTTCAACTGTTGTGAGCGTAAATATAATAACAAATATTATAAAACCAGTTCTGAGACGATTGCGTTGGACCAAGGCCTCACGAGAAAGATCCCAGTTTGTAAGTCTGAAGGATGGAGTTTGGACGAAGTCACAGAGTCTTGTTGAGGATGTTGACCAGGCTTCCCTTCACCAGTCCAAGATGATTATACAAACATTGATATTCCTCCCATTTCACAATTAAAAGCCACTCAATATTTCGTCGCATATCTGACGAACCGACGAATACGCGCGATTACGCGTAAACGCAATTCTGAGAAAAACGCGTTTAAAGTTGAACACTTTTTACGTGTCCCTTTTCGATGTTACTATCCCCTTTTGTACATTCTTAATTTATGTAAGGTAGTTAATTGATTGTTAAAATACATCCATGAATTTGGTTTTGGCTCGTAAGAGTTAAGGTTTGTCTAATTTTTGCTGTGAAACTTATTCGTCACTTCGCGAGATAGCAATAAACGTCATTGTGCTTATTCGCCACGTAAAAATGTCTTATTCGTCACTTTGTAAGATAACATTTTGACTGTGCGCGCGTTTTCGAATCACAAATCCATTGCATATTCGTCACTTTTTTACAACACTACGCGCATTTTCAAAGAACTGTGTATGTTTTACAAACATTTTCTATTTTTTTTCAAGGAAAAAATATGGTAACACTTAAACCCCACGTTCAAATCCAAGTACTTGCTATAATGTTTTAATAATATACAGTAGCCTAATAAAAAAAGTTATTTAAGGAAAATATCTCGAATGGACGCAACAAAATAATAGGAACACAAAACTGTGAATGCGAACTAACAACGAACAACACTATTTATTCATTCATTCATTCATTCATGTAAGACAGCAATTGTTTTAAAAACAATCAGTTTTTGTTTCATTATCCCATAATTATTGTCTTCCAGGGTACAATAATCTTAGTAAAGGCTTGTTATCATTCGGCATTCTGCTTTAATTAGCCGCTTAAAGGGCTCCGTTTTCGAGAATACAAAACCTGTATCTCGAAATGCAGTTTTTGGGTATCCTATAAAACATCGTCTTTGAAAGAAAGTGTACCGCACACGTTGAGATAATTAATTATTTTATTTAATTATCCTAATCATCACTCACCAGCTAGGGCACACGTTATTTCAGCATAGGCTTATTCCAATGAGGTTTTCTGCTCTAATTAGCCACTTAAAAAGGCTCCGTTTTCGAAAATATCCCGAAAAGCAGTGTTTTGGGTTTCCTAAAAAACGCCGTCTTTGAAAGAAAATCTACAAATAAAACACATTTTTATGTCATCATCCTGAGTATCACCGTCCTGGGTACACTTCATTTTCGTTATGGGCTTATTCCCATGAGGTCTTATGCTGAAATTAGCCACTTAAAGGGGTTCCATTTTCGAGAATATCTCGAAATGTAGTATTTTGGGTCTCCCATTGAGCGCAGTTTTTAAAGAAAGTGTACCGCACATGTTTTGAATAAATAATATGTTTATTTAATAATCCTATTTTCACCTTATTGGGCGCACTTAATTTCAGTATTGGTTTATTCCAATAGGGTATTCTGCTCTAAGTAGCCGCTTAAATGGACTACGTCGAAGTGCAGTAATAGTATTTTTCCTATTAAACGCTGTTTATGAAAGAAAGTGTACCGCAAGTTTTAAACAAAAAATATCCTTATATTCATCCCTTGGGGGCACTTCATTTCAGTATGGGCTGATTAAAATGAGGTTTTCAGCTCTTATTGGCCACTTAAAGGGGGCCGTTTTCGAGATTTTCTCCAAATGCAGTAGGCCTTTTGTAGAATTCCTATAAAACGCCGGTTTTGAAGGAAAGTATATCGCACGTTTTAAATGAATCCCAGTCTGTATAAGCCTATCCGTCGCGCAGTCCTAACCTAGTACATTTTGTACTCC